TTTCACTGACGACAAATCTCACCCCGGCATGGATGATGATCTCCCATATCTGCATAGCTGGAGCCTCCCCCTTCAGCACCTTCCACACCCTAGCACCTCCTGAGACCTCATGCAGCTGGGAGGGGCAGGAGAGAGGCTTTAATGACTCCCTGTCCATTCCTTCTATGAGGGAACGGCTGGATCTTGAGGGTCATAGCTGCTCTGAAGGTGACATCTGCTGTGCTGGAGGACAGAGGTCCTCAAACCCTAAGATCGTGTGCAGCACTGAGGGTACAGTTTCCTAGGGCCACTTTAAGAGGAAGCCTCAGACGAAGGAACCCTGGCTGAGGCAGGACCATAAACCAAGTTTCCCGGGGAGAGGGGGTGAGATGGAGTGGTTTTCATTTAAAAATAGCTCAGGAGTGTGTGTCCTACAGAGGCAGATCGGCCTTAGGATATTTGAGTGTGTCGATTTATTGCAGAGCAAAGAACTCTCACCTAAGTTGTGCTGCCCAGTGTGGAAAGGGTGCCCAGAAAGCTTATGAAACAGGAGCTGGGGTGGTGGTGGCTGGGAGATGGGTCAGCAGTTAAGAGGACTTGCTCCTCTTCCAGAGGAACAAGTCCCATTCCCAGGACCCACATTGGGTGGCTCATAACCATCTGTAACTCCAGTTCCAGGGGACCCGAGCTGCCTTCTGGCCTCCGTGAGCACATGCATACATGTGGTACGCTTACATGTATTCAAGTATACACATGTATTTGGGGAGGGAGAGGAGGGGAGGAAAGGGTTTATTTGTCTTACATCTCCCGGGTCACAGTTCATCAGGGTGCCCAAGGTAGGAACTCAGGGCGGGAACCTGGAGGCAGGAGCTGGAGCACAGGCCATGGAGGAACGCTGCTTACTGGCTTGCTCCACTGACCTGTCCTCAATCTGCTTTCTTTTACAAGCTAGGTCCCCTGCCCAGGGATACACATGTATTTTTAAAGAAGGAGCTGGGGATATATGACCATCCCGAGGTCACAGTAACAAAGCATTACAGGGGACATGACTCGAGTCACAGAAATGTGTCTCCTCACAGTCCACGAGGCCACAAGTCCCAAACAGGCATCACAGTGCCAAAGGAAGATGTTTGGGCTGAGACTCCTTCTGGACATCTGCAGGATAGTCTGCTCCTTCCCGCCTCTACTCAGCAGCTGCCAGAAATCTTCAGCTTATGGCTGCACCGCGGTGTCCTACGCCAGGTCTTCCTCTGCTCCTCCTCACAGGGCCTTCTGTTCTGAGTGTGTCACTCCGACTCCCCTCTGCACCTCTCTTATACAGACACCCGTGTTTGTGTTTGAGACCACACCTGCAAAGACCCCTTTTTCAAATATGCTTCCAGGGATTTGGACCTGGTATCCTTTGAGGTCATGATCTGGCCTCCTCCTGGTGGTAGGATAGCTTAGGGGCACATAAACTCTGTCGCTAGTTACTAGACAGCTTTGCCATTTAGACTTTTTCTGAGTTTTGGTTTGTTTTCCGTGAAGTGGGGGTTGTGGAAGGACTCCCCTAGCTGGCTGAGCTGGCACCAGGATAACAGGGCTGGCACATAGTACTCAGATGAAGGGACCCATAACTGTCATGGACAGCTTGCATAGTGTGACATGCATGTCATGGGGACACCTCATGGGCTTATAGCAGGGAGTGCCCCCACAGCCCCGTCCCTGTGACAGCTATGATGCAGGCTGTGCTGGTTTGGACATGGACATTTCTGTGTGCTTCCTGGCACAGCTGTGGGTGTGACTTCATCCTTCCCCGAGCGTCCGTGGTAATGCTGGGTTCACGGTAGGGAAATTGCCACTCCCATGGATCAATGGTGGAATGTGGACAGCTTTGAGTCCAGGGCAGCACACTGGAGAAGTCGCACCATATCTGGAGACAGCATTGCGGGGGGCAGGGGGCAGGGCTGAATTTGGATCGAGAGGACTTTCCTTTCTGCCAATAGCATTGGCTCTGCGGAGACCTGAGGGCAGCTCTACAGCTGCCCAGAGGTCTCACATGCTAAACACTGGGTTTGTAGCCCTATCCTTACAATCCCAGAGCTACCGGATTGGAAAGAATGTGTGAGACGATGGCATTAAACAGGTGTCGTGGATACTGCCAGCCCACACCCTCCAGACCTCTCCTTAACCAGTCCTCTGTTCTCCTTTCAAAGGGGTGTCATTTCATGTTGATCCCACCCCATCAGAGCACCCTTTGAAATATCCCACCAGGCAGATGGGCCATCGGCTGCCACATACCAAGTGCGAGTTGTGAGCTGTAGGACACAGGAAGGGTCAGAGCCCCAGGGGGCTGCGTGCTGCTGTCTGGCTTCCGTGGGGGCTTCTAGTCTGCACTTTCTTGTTGACCAGTGTCATGTCACTGCATCAGTGTCTTCCATGCATGTGGACCCTTTGTTCTTGGACTTGCGTGTCCTGTCTGCAGAAATAGCACGGCCAGAGTCGTCGGCAGAAATTTTGAGAGACGAGGGCAAACCTTCTTTGCTGTTTCTCTGTTGTGTGAGGCACTAGCTCCTGTGCACGGACCAGTGGGATGTGCTGGTGGCTGGAAGGCTGGAGGTAGAGGTTTCCACTTTGAGGGTCCCAGTGACTGGAGCTGGGGGTGAGGCCCTCCGAGTCAGGCCTGCAGCTGCCGCTCAACTCACACACTCCACATTCCTTGCCAAGAAGGAAAACACCATGGGGTGAACTTCTGGGTCCACATCTGTTTTTACTACTGAGACCTCAAAACACACTCACTTCCACATCCTAGGAGTGTTCTGGGGAAGTGGTAAGGATTTGGAGGTTGCCACTGGTCCTGTCCAGCTGAAGCATGAGGGAGCTTGGGTTTCCATGATTGAAACCCACCTTTCTTGTACTGGGTCTGTGAGAGCACTCCACAAGGAGTCCACATACATGTGACAAAAGGCAACTCAGTGATGACCAGGAGGGGGAGGCAGAAGAGCTGTGTTGTAGAACTGTGACTGGGCACTGAACTTAATTCTGAGATTCCCAGCAGCCAAGGCAAAAAGGGAAAATGGGGTTACACTGGTGTTTTGTTCTTTACTGAGAGTAAACAGTCACTTGTGTTTCACAAGACAGACTTTTTTCATGGCACTAAAAAAGCATATCTTCTATGTTATTTTCTTGCATGTGTGCGCATATGTGTGCATGTTTGTGTGTGTTCAGTGCACACACAAGTGCACATTTGTATAGAGCTGGGAGAACAACCTCAGGGGTCAGTCCTCAGGTGCCACACAAGTTCTCTCCTCAACCCAGAGCTCTTCAAGCAGGCCAGGCTGGCTCGCCAGTGAGCCCCAGGGGTCTGCCTGTCTCTGCCTCTCCAGTGCTGGGACCACAAGCTTGTGCCACCGCACCCAGCTGTTTGATTGCTTGTTTTTACATAGATTCTGGGGATTGAACTCAGACCCTCGTGCAAGGCAGACATTTTAGCTCACTGAGCCAACCTGTGTCTTGTAAGTTCGGACATAAAGGGTTTTAGGAAATGCCACAGTTGGAGGGTTTTTTCCTATGGTTTTTGCAAAAGCTTTTCTAAAGTCTTCTTTGCTTTTTGTTTTAAGAGAACTGAAATTCCGATGCCCAAACCTAGGTAGTCCTTGAAGGTCCCCTTCTGTCTGAAATCCCTGCTGCCGAAGGCCTGCTGGAGAACCGGGTGGTTTTCACCCCAACAGAGCTTTGCTTCTACTAGAATTGTAGAGATGTTGGCTGGTCCGTTGCACGCTTGCTTCCTAATCTTACATTTCCATAGGAAAGTCTAAACGGAGCTCTGAAGGGAACCCGGCCTGATTCTGACGCTGGCTTTCTGTGAGGGCCGAAGGCAGAGGGGGATAAAGTCCTTGTGTGGACGGAGAGGTGCACGTGTTGGCGTGGCCACAGCCTGGGAGTGCATGTCAAGGCTGTGTTTACAGATACAGCATAGTGGACCTCACTATAAGTGTTCCCTGTGTGATTGTCACGGTCGCCATGAAATGTTTTAACGTGTGCGTGTGCGTACCTGTGGAGGCCCGAGGTTGACACTGGGCATCTTCTTCGGTCTCTCTCTACTTTATTATTCTGTAGCGTGTGTACACATGTGTGGCGTGTGTACATAAGTGTATGTGTGTTTGTGTGCGTACGTGCGGATGCACATATGTGCACATGGTGTGAAAGCCTGGGGCTCATGTTGGGAGTCATCTGCTCTCCACCTTCTTTCAAGTAGGGTCTTTCCCTTGGACCCAGAGCCTTGTCAGTATGGTTAGTCAGTTCACTCTGGGTTTGGGGCATGGGGATCCCGTCTCCGTCTTCCAAGTCCTGGAATTGCAGGTGGGCTGCCATGAGCACTTGGCATTTACGCGGCTTCTAAGGGTCAGAATGCTGGTCCTTGCACTTGCTTGGCAAGTGGTTTATCCACTGAGCCATCCCCCTAGCCCTTTACCTCGGGTTTTGAGCCAGGTTTCTCACAGAATCTGGAGCTCGACGCTTTGTGTAGACTAGCTGTCCACTAAGCCCTGGGAATCCTCCTGACTCACCCTCCCCAGCGCTGGGATCGTAAGAGCGTGCCTGGCTTTTCACACGGGTTCTCGGGGATTGAACTCAGGTCCTCGTGCTTTGAGGCAAGCGCTTTACCAATGTAGCCACCTCCCCAGCCCTATTTTCTGATCAGTTCCATACAGGGGCTGCTGAGACTTCAACTCAGACCCCTTTTTGTTTCTTCCTCATTTCATCTCAAACACCCCTGTCCCCTAATGAAATCCTGTTCTACCTTCTAAAATCGTTCAGAACTTTAAAAAGCATGGCTTTGATAGCTCCTTGGAGTTATGGGTATGTGCCACCATGCCCAGCTTTTGATAGGTCTATTTTGATCCAAGGCTGTTAGTTAATTATTATGAGAAGACAGGCGTCAGTCTGTGTTGTCATCTCAATAAGCAGATGGGACTGAGGTCCAGGCTGCTCTGCCTTTTTAAGGTACAACCTCCCTGAAGTCCACGTGTCTCTCTCCCTAGATTGTCCTCCAGTCCGTGACTTCGTGGCTCTCAACGTCACCAGCAGCAGTTTTCACCTGTCCTGGAGTTTAAATTCCACTCAGAACCATACTTTACGCATTCACGTGTACAGAGATGGAGAACTGCTCAGGAGCACCTGGACTGGGGGCCGAGCCTTGGCCGTGGCTGGGCTGGAGCCTGGAGTACTGTATAGGGTGAGGACCAGCTACCAGGGGTGCGGGGACAACGTCTCTGCCACGCTGTTCGTCAAGACAGGTAAGGCACAAGTCTGAAAGCCATGCTTCCTCGAGTGGGCCTTTCTGTCCCAGAGCTCTGGTGCCCCGGCATGTCATGTGATTCTGCCCATACTCAGGCAGCAGATGTCCTGCCGCACGCGTCCTCTGACTCTCTGAGCTGCCCACACTGCGCAGGCCCTCAGGTGCTTCCCGAATGCCTTGCTTCCTGTGCCTCTTGCTGAGCACTCCCTCTAACATCCGCTGTTGACCTCCAGGCTCTGTGGGGACCTGTTTTCCCACAGTCTGACACACATGGATGTTGTCAGACCGTAACTACAAACAGCACACACACACTTTTAGTCATACAGACCGGAAGGACTGTCCGAAAAGCCTAGTGCCCTCAGGGTCGGGCAGCTCAGTGGTATCTGCATGAAGCAGGAGAGTGCCCTACTTCCCACGACTCACAGTGTCTGCCCTTCCTGTGCCAGGAGGGAGTGAGTCCCCCAAACCCACAGGACACGTGTATAAGCTTAGAGCTCTTACACAGGGTGGCAGCTGTCGTGGCCATGGTGACATACAGACACGCCAGCTCTGGAGTTGTGGCGTGAACAGGTGGGGCCTCCAAGACCTTCAGGTCCCAGGTTCTCCAGCACAGACGGTAACTGCAGGCTGGGGTCAGGCTCACTGTCATGGCAGAGCCTGCAGAGTGTGGCTACTGCTGGGTGAAGACCCTGGTGGGGTCTCTCTTATGCACAGAGATCCACAGCAGTGTTGGAGACTGAGACAGGGAGCGAGGGACGGAATGAGTGGACCTTGGCGATTCAGCCTTACTCCCTTCATGAGTAGATTTAGGGAGAGCACAAAGCCAAGTCCCCGTGGTCAGGACGGCCTCCAAAGGTCCGTCACAAAATGCACAAAATGCAAACTCCAAATGTGACACTGTTCTGGGTTCCATCCAAAAAGCTCTAGTTCACCTCTCCAGGGACAAGGGGAGGACTGCTCTTTTCCCTTAGGAGAAGCTGAGGCCTGAGAGGGGATCACTTCCCTGTTGTCCTGTGTGTGAGGATGCATGTGGGCTCCCCAAGTCCTCTTGTGCCCTATCTTCTGTGCTCACTGACGTGCCATGTCCCCTCCTGCCTCACCTGGGGTGGTCAGGCACTGCCCCCTTCTCAGTGCGGAAGGGACAGCAGGGACTTGAGTCACGCCCCCACTCATGGCCCTCAGGGAAAACAACCACCCACATTCTCATGCCAGGGATGGAGAATTTGGGAAGATTCTAGAAGACTGTTGCATGATGGTGTATTCCTGCCTTTCTTTCCTTGGCACTGGGAAGGGCCTTTGGCTGCTGAGCCCTCCTGGATGCTCTGACCACTTTAAAGGGCTTTTTCAATCTGTCCTCTGCCAGTTTTTGCCACTGGGCAGAAGGGGGTATCAACCATAGCAACCAATGCCCAGAGTCTCCTGGCAGTAGGTCAGCTCCCAGGGCACTGCAGAGCCTGAGCATCCGTAAGGCTCTGTGATTACATCTCAGTGCTGACTGTGAGCACACAGGAGCTGACGTAAAGGCCGGATGGGCAGGGCCATGGGGGTGCTGGCCTCTTTGCTAAGGTAGGGAGCTCTGAGGAACCTGACCTGGGGGTACATAGTAGATACTAGGCCCCCATACCTGGGGTTTTGCTTTTCAGTGTTTTAGTTACTGAGGTCTGAAAATACTAAGTTCAGTTTGCTGTTAGAATTGCTCTGTTTTACTGCTTGTTAGTGCCCAGCTTGTCCTCTGTGTAATAATAGTTTAGGCTTATCACAGGACAGCAACATGTGAGGAGTTGGTCCCAGGTGTCCACTGACATCTTAGAATGCCTCTCCTGGGATAAGGAGCCTCCCTATAGCTGTGGCAACACGTCTGTGGTTTGAATGTGGCATGCACAGGAGATAGGTTGTGCTGACCCTCGGCCTGTGGGCCCAAGGTTTGTCATCCATCGTCAGTCTGTGGCTGGCTGTCAGTAATCAGGGAGCACAGGGGCTACATGGGAGCCCAGCCCTAATGCCTGCTGACAGTTTAGTTTTACTGTCATGAGAGAGATATATGTTCCCAGGCCCCACCTTGAGTCTTTTCCCCAGTGTCTACAGAAGAGGCAACCTCTTTGCAGAGAGGCAACCTTTCCAGGGACAGAGAAGTGGGGTTTTCAGTGCTGAAACCTGGAAGGTTCTGGCAACTAGGACCAGCAGTCACTCTGATACTGGGGGTCTGGGTGGGGACTGAGTATGAGCACCCAGCTAGGCCTGGTGCTCAGCACCCTTACCCAGGATAGCGGGAGGGAACTCAGGGTCTAAAGCCCAGGTCCCACTGGCGTGGTCCCTGTGTGGTGACTTGGTGTCCCTGTCCACTGTCAGAGTGCATACTGAGTGTCCACTGTCAGAGTGTATACTGAGTGTCCACTGTCAGAATGCATACTGAGTGTCCACTGTCAGAGTGCATACTGAGTGTCCACT